TCTGCTTTATCCACCAACACAAGAACACCAGTCCAGAACCAACAGCAGAAGGACCCGCTCTGAATCAGTCGTGTCGCTGCGGCTCAGACACACAGGGATTTATGTTTTTTTAAATACTCGCGTTACAATCATGTCAGGTGTTTGGTGGATTTAATTAAGTCTTGGATTGCAGAGTATGAATGTCCTCTTGCTATTTTCAGACGATATACGTGTGTAAAGTAAAGTTTGTGAAGGCAGGAGGAAAAAAGCTTCCGCGATCACCGTCTCCTCTCCGTTCCTCCAAACCCCGCCCTAAAAATAATGGGTGACAGGCTGAGTAACCTGATAGAAACTTTATTATTCACTTAATCACTGATTGAGATATGATGAAGCTAACTTAATCTCATACAATCATGGGATTTATGTAACAGTAAGACAGAGAATAAGTGTGCAGTGCACCCACATGCAGTATTTTTGTTTTGATATGCTGTTGTAAATACTCCTGTTGTCTGCTGTGTTCAGACTCAAGTCCTGTGAGTGATGCCACATTCAGGACCTTCAGTGTCCTTTTTTAACAGAAGACCGTTGCTAGAAGCTGCAGCTACTGCAGAAGTATTAGTTTTTTTTGTTTTTGAGGATGGAACAATTTCACACACAGATACTGTAATTGATTTATTTTGGTTTATAAATTAATGTCAAGACATTTATGTTATTGATTTCTGAAGCACTTTCTAAATAATAAAAAGAGAGTTCAGCGCCCTGCCAACGGAGCCCCGCGCCCCCCATGAAATACAAGGTGTTTAAAAAAATTATAATTATAATTTTTTTTTTAAATATATACATAGCACCAAATTGCAACTAATCTATATCTACTGTCCCTTTTCACATTGAACATGTGCTCTTTTATTAAATAAACTATACGCTTTCATTTTAAATTGCAGTGTTTTTGACCCTAAGAAACACTGATGCATTAATCAATAACAATAATCCACAGCTCCTCTCTGCTCCAGACGATTTAAAACAAATATATACATTTGTTTACATTCATTTAAACAAAACACACAAATTGGTGTGCGGGGTAGTGACGACTACCTGATTTGCATTATCAACAAGCTACTGTACTTTACCCTGTCGGGTGACAGTGGGTCAATCTGGTTTTATAGTCAAACACTGGCAGCCATTCAAATGAATTGCACCAATAAAAAATCAGTTATCTGCAAATGGCTTACATAATGCTAAGCATAAAACTATGAGCATTAATCATAGATCTTCAGATAACGAAAGTTGTTATAGTTGGCAAAGTGTACATGATGTAACGTGTGTGTTACTATTCTCCATCTTCTCCACCCTCTTGGACCCTCCAAAAGCCCCTCCCCCCTCCTCACTTCTGTCAAGCGACTTCGTTAACTACTTTGAAAAAAAGGTTGATGATATTCGCTCTTCTTTTTCTGACTCACCTTTACTCACCACTGGGTCACCAGACCCTCCTTCCACCAACACACTAACCTCCTTTTCCCCTCTCTCTCCAAGTGAGGTTCTTACCCTCATTACCTCTGCCCGCCCTACCACCTGTCCTCTGGACCCTATCCCTTCAAATCTCCTTCAGACTATCGCTCCTGATATTCTACCATTTCTCACCCATTTCATCAACACTTCTCTAACTTCTGGTCACTTTCCAAACAGTCTCAAGGAAGCAAGAGTAAACCCTCTCCTAAAGAAACCCACTCTCAACCCGTCCAATGTTATAAACTATAGGCCTGTCTCTCTCCTCCCGTTCCTGTCTAAATCACTTGAACGCGCTGTCTTTAAACAACTCTCCTGTTATCTCAATCAGAACAACCTTCTGGATCCGCACCAGTCTGGTTTCAAGGCAGGTCACTCCACAGAAACTGCTCTCATTGCTGTCACGGAGGAACTGCCACACTGCCAAAACTGCATCCCTCTCCTCTGTCATCATCCTATTGGACCTGTCTGCTGCATTCGACACGGTGAATCATCAGATCCTCCTTCGCACTCTCCAAAAACTTGGAGTTTTCAGGCTCTGCACTTTCCCTCCTCACCTCATACCTGAAAGACCGTACCTACAGGGTGACTTGGAGAGGGTCTGAGTCCGACCCTTGTCAATTAACTACAGGGGTCCCTCAGGGCTCTGTTCTTGGTCCCCTCCTCTTCTCCCTGTACACAAACTCGCTCGGATCAGTCATTAGCCCGCATGGTTTTTCTTACCACTGCTACGCTGACGACACCCAATTAATTCTGTCCTTTCCCCGCTCAGAGACCCAGGTCGTCGCACGCATCTCTGCTTGTCTAGCTGACATCTCTCAGTGGATGTCTGCTCACCACCTCAAGCTCAACCATGACAAGACTGAGTTGCTCTTCCTTCCGGGAAAAGATTGTCCCACTCTTGACCTAACAATCAACATCGGCACCTCAGTTGTTTCCCCGACTCAGACTGCAAGGAATCTGGGTGTGACCCTAGATAACAACCTGTCCTTCACTGCAAACATCGCTGCTACAACCCGTTGCTGCAGATACACGCTTTACAACATCAGGAAGATACGTCCCCAGCTGACTCAGAAAGCGACTCAGGTTCTGGTCCAGGCTCTCGTCATCTCACGCCTAGACTACTGCAACTCCCTCCTGGCTGGTCTACCTGCATGTGCCATCCGACCTCTGCAGCTCATCCAGAATGCAGCGGCTCGTCTGGTCTTCAACCTTCCTAAATGTTCCCACACCACGCCGCTCCTCCGCTCCCTTCACTGGCTTCCGGTAACTGCTAGAATCCACTTCAAGACACTGGTACTTGCTTACCATGCTGCGAATGGATCTGGCCCTTCCTACATCCAGGACATGGTTAAACCGTACACCCCAGCGCGTGCACTACGCTCTGCATCAGCCAAACGACTCGTTGCGCCCTCGCTGCGAGGGGGACCCAAGTTCCCATCGGCGAAAACACGTGGGTTTGCTGTCCTGGCTCCAAGATGGTGGAATGAGCTCCCCATTGACATCAGGACGGCAGATAGCTTGCACATCTTCCGGCGCAAACTGAAAACTCATCTCTTTCGACTCCACTTCAAGCGTTAGAACTATTAACGAAGCACTTTTATACTAATAAAGGACTGGCTTATCTAAAGCCAGTTGAGTAGCACTTGAAATGTTTTTGCTCTATGAAACCTGATGTACTTATATGATTCTGTTTTCTTCAAGGTTGTGTCTTCCTGGTCGAATGTACTTATTGTAAGTCGCTTTGGATAAAAGCGTCAGCTAAATGCAGTGTGTGTGTGTGTGTGTGTGTGTGTGTGTGTGTGTGTGTGTGTGTGTGTGTGGCAGAGATAAAGAGAATGATAGCATTGTCTACAAACATAAATATACAATATTGACAGCAACTGATGCCTCCTTATTGTTGTAACTTCTCTAAAAGGTTGAGTGTGTGTCTGCCTGTGTGTGGGTGTGTAGGCAGAAAGTTTGGTGCGGCCACCCTCAGGCCTTATATCTGACACCAGGGTGTGTCAGGTGTGTGTGTGTGTGTGTGTGTGTGTGTGTGTGTGTGTGTGTGTGTGTGTGTGTGTGTGTGGGTGGGTGTGAGGAAGCGAGAGGAAGAGACAAAGAGAGATAACGCACAGGAAGTGGAAACAAGAGAAGCCCCTATGAGGCTAAACTGCATATTTTGTACTTCTTAAAAATGTAACACATTTCTTTAATTAAAAGGTATTAAATGCATCCTTGGTGATCAGATTCCTTGGATGATAATGTTTGTATAATGCAACGTCACAAAGTTTTAGAATATAAAATACACTGGTTTATATTCAAGTGTTAGAAAAATGTAATCTAATCCTATTCTACTCATTTCATTTCCTCCGGACCTAGAAGATTTCTCGTGAGGAAAATCATTCTGAACTAATTATAAGACTTAATTGTAGTCTTTGCATTCCCTTTTCTTCTTTATAGAGATTATACATGTTGTAATTATGGAAGGAAAAACATACGTTTTTGTGATGTTCATTTTTTGTAGCAACACTGTTAGGATTTCTCTGTTCAAACAGAAACTTAACAGGTTAGTAGCTACATGACTTTTTCACCAAACATGTTTAATTCATGCTTCGAATCAAGATATTGTGTAAGTGTATTTGTCAATGCTAGCTAAATAAAAAGTCAAAAAAGCATAGATGCTTTTTCACCAAAGCAGTCATCACTGTCACACACCCAATGTTTTTGCCCAGTGTTATATCATTTTGAGTGAAGTAATGTCGGGCTGCAGAGGAATCCTACCCTAAAACGTGTCTAGTACTCACTTAACAAAACAAAGGTGTTGGTACAGATCCTCTGATAGAAGAAACTCTAAACAATTATAATTTTGAATAATGATACATGATTAGTCACCTACATTAACCCCAAAATGTGCCACAAAATGAAATCATGCCTTTTTCAGTTACACATTGTACCTACTCACACTTTATAGGGTATATGTTTGCACAAGTGCCAACACATTTGCTTGAATGAATGACAAATTCAACTCTGTTTTGAATAAACGTATTGTGAATACATTTGAACTGAATCAATAAAAGAAAAGTAAGATTTGGATTGCAGGACTACTTATAACAGCAGAGTATTTTACAATTGGGTGTTGATACTTGAATTAAAGTATACAATTTGAGTACTTCTTTCACCACTGCATATCAGTAATTCATTCATCATTATATATATATATATATATAAAATATTTGAGTGTTATATTATTTTGACAGTGCAGTCAGTTAGCACAATGTCAACCATGTTATCATCTCACGTTTTCTCGCGACATTTTGTCCAAAAAGGAGATTTTTAAGAAATGTACCCGCTCACCAAAACAAATTCAGCAACCTGCTAGCTTGCTGGGCAAAAAAAATAGACGACTCCGACAAGTGGCCAGGAATGAGCATCTTCTGTATTAGTTATAAATCGAAAAACCAACGCGTTAAAACGTATATTATTAATACAAAAGTTATATGTGCTACATACGAATTTCCAGTGAGTGTGCCTACCTGTCAATCTCAGCGACTGTCACTTGCTGTTGCCTGCTGTTCCGGTGTGCTCTGCTACTCCAACAAACAGGCTACAAGTTTACAAGTTCGGACATTTGTAACGCTTTAAATGGCGCAAAAGAGACAATAATATTTGCAGCAATCCTTGTTGAATGGTATAACTGTCAGCCCTTTCCGAAACAAACTGAGTTTGAGCGCTGGCGTCGGTTCTGTGCTGTCTTTGTACGACACAAAGATCGTTTGTTTATCTGAAGATGCATCACTCCAATACGTGAAAACAACCCGACTCTTTTTTGTGCACTTGTTTTAGTTAGTTGTTATATTTTCCGATAGAAACAGCTGGGCATAGCTGAATGTGATGAATATATGTTTCCATCTTTGTTTTCTATACTTTATTGCAAGAGTTAATACTTTACATTTCCACTTGCTTACAAAGCATCCTTTTTGAAATCTTTCATTTTAAGAACGTTATGACAATCTACATTAAAATAGGATTGCATTATTTTCCTTATTTATTAAACCTTTGATTCGTTGTGACTGTTTTTCTTCTTATTTCGTCTTAGACTGTGGTCTTCAATTTGTCCACCACCCTTTATGATGTTATTTGCAGCAGGAATCAGAAGCGAAGTGAAAGCTCTTTAATGTTCTCATATCTCTGGTAAACGTTCAGGCTGTCTGCCCACTCTTAAAGGAACATGCTACAATTTTGCAATTTTCTCCACTTAGTGGGTCCAAATTCTAAAAGCAAGTTTAGAGCTTTGGTTTGCAAAATGTATTCAGACATAATATTCAAATCATGTTTGCCATTTCACCAACAAGCAGTAAAAACTTTACACAATTAGTTTATCAATGTTGTTCCAATTCAAGCTGAAGTACAAGTGATAGGGAAGTTATTTACCATATATTAATTCCTAACAAAAATATACTTTTTAGTTCTGACAGGAAGAGGTTTAAGATCCTCTAATGGCGAACTCCATTTTAAACGCAACCATTCACTTCACAAAAGATAACAAAACTGGAATTAAAAACAATGTTTACTTTGTCTCCATCATCTGGTCAAACGTTGTCATTGATGAAAAAGGTGTTTAAAGACGCATTGTCGTTTTCAACATTAACTTGTGTTTGATGTGTTTTATTACCCATTTAAAAATTAGCGGGCTTTTACAGTATTCATGAATATTCCATGAAATCGACTATCAGAGTTTAGTTAAGAGATTTATTTTTACACATTGCATTAACTTTTTTTTTTTACAAACAATGTATTCAAAAGTTTTTTCTCAAAGTTTAAGTATAAAGATCCCTCAAATATTATGAATGTAATTGGATTTAGTAATGTTCTTCTGCATTGGCTATCTCTATTCAATACAAAGTTTTTGGGGAATTATTCATGGAAGGTATATCAGAAGAAATGATTTCCAGCTCATGCCAAGAGATGTCTATGAGAATGTTTGCAATGCGTTATCATTCAAATGATGAGGTGAACATTGTGTCCAGATGTTACTTTAAAAAGCAGGTTTAAAAACTAGATTGACGTTACACCTAACAATCATAACAATACGAGTTAACAGCTGTGATGTGATTGTTTATTGAAGCAACGAAAATGTGAAGCTAAGCAAATTTGTATACAGTCGAAGAAGAAAAAAAAACATTCTTTATCCACAAATTCAGATTTTTGAAAGTCCAACAAAGACTGGTATTGCGACCTAATTTCTATGTTTGTATCCTCAGCAAGATGGCAATATTAGCAATGTAACTTCCACGACAGATCAGTTGAATCACTCAAACTCTGAATGGTTATTGGACCATTTTAAAAAGGCTGGTGATCTAAAACAACTTGTTTTGATCTAAAACAAGTTGTTTTGCCGAGGCATGGTTTCATACACAAATAAGAATTCAAGTGACCAAATTTAGCAGATTAGCTAAAGGAAGTTAACTACTGTAACATTCAGTGTGTAACTTTTAAATCCCATTTACATTGATTTTTTACAATTAACATTCGTCCCGTGAAATCATCTAAAGAAAGTGTTAACAGGTCTTTAACCCAGTAACTTTTGATTCTAGAATACAACAGAAACAAACTAAACGCAGAAATGTCAAAACTAAACAAGCATACTCTGCAAACTCTTTAAGTACTGTATGTAGAAATGCAGCTCTACTATGCAGTCATGACAAACAAAAAAGGCACAAGGAAATTTTAAACAACAATGAATTCACACAAAGAAGGTAGAATGTAACTTTCACACGGCTGAATCATCAAAAACAAACATTTTTTGTAAGAGTTGACCACCGCTCTGTAACCACTGGCCGCAAACATGTTGGTTACAAAAAGAAAAGGCTTACATAGCATGAAACCGAAAGGAAAGGCGACACCTCATCAGATTAAAATGATACATAAATAAACCCATAACAATTTAAGCTTAGCTTTTTTTGTGTTACAAATGTTTTTATAAAGAGCCTACTGCAGAGGATTCGGGACAGATTTTTAGATCTGACCAAAGTGTCTTTTTTTATTCTGAGATTAAATTCAGAATTCTGAGGAAAAAGTCTCAGAATTCTCTTACCAGACTTTTTTTCTCTCAGAATTCTGACTTTCTCTCTCAACTAAAAACAAAGACCCTTGGCCTCTTCCATAAGTTCCATAAGTAAGTCTCATAAGCGGGAAACAACATAAGCATCGTGAAATGGGATCTAAAGATGCGGACATGGTGCAGCAATGTTCTGTATATTTACACGCATTATGGGAAACACTGTTCCCGATAATAAAAACATCCACTCCTACAGTGAAATATGGAGGGCACTGCCTCCGATACGGACACATACTGGTAGGAAAAAACTACCTTCTTCTTTTATTCACATTATGGAAGACACTGCTCCCGATAATATTGTCAGGACGAGAAGTGTACATGTACCGAGGGACCTGAAGAGACCAGTCCAGTGTCAGTTTAAAGGAAAACACAATCCAGAGTTGCGTTACGATTGTTCGTACTTCAGTCCAGGTCGACATGTACACTTCTTTTTAAGCAGATGCTGCTCTTGATATTTCAACAGTATAACTGTCATAATTATGGAAGGCGCTGCTCCCGATAATTATACACATTATTTTTCATTTTTTATAAAAGGCAATTAAAAAAATACTATTTATAGTGAACCCTGCCACTGATAAATAAATAACACAATAAATAGACGTACGGTTTGTTTCAGTGCCTTCAGACCCTCTCCTTGGTTTTTCAAAGGCCTATTCTTAATTTTTTATTATTGATTGTTGCGTGGACTTTTTTTGTAACGATGCAGCCAAACAGGTTCCGTGTAGGGCTGGGCGATATTTTTTAACCGCAATATCGTGAGGATATTGTAGAGTTGAGCATTGGTGCATATAGAAAAACAATGAGAATTTGGATAATTGGCATGAGTAATGTCAATTCAACAACTTCTAATAAGAAAAAAATAGAACTCCTAGAACAGTAATGGCACATTTAGAAAATAACATCAATGTATTGTACTGTGCCTTCAAAAGCAGGAAATTACGTCATTTTCGATATTCAAGGAATTTATATTAAAATTGGTTTATTGCCCAGCCCTAATTCAGTGCAACAGAACTGCTGTTTGATTGTTATTTCATCATCTCTTCTATTTAGGCAACACACACATTTCTGACTGACTAGTCACGAGTTTCTGCGCAGAATGACATTTTAACTTCCGATAAAACACGTACCAGGTTTATACACAGGGCTTCAGCAGCAGTAATATTACCAGCAGTTTGGATTTTTAATCATTATGCGCTTTATCTTAGATTATCATACTGGCACTTTGTGTTTTGTTCCTCTCCGAGCTGCTTTACACAGACATACTGTGACTACATTTTAAGTGTCACCTATAGGACCATTTGAAGCTAATTGTTGCTAGCACCAGAGTATTCAGAATACTGCATTTCATTTAAAACGAAAAAACATCCTTTTTGTTAAGGATTACTTTATTTTTATTTTTTTAATTCTTTTAAAAAAAGTAAGGCTTTTTTTTAAAGAATTTCAGAAAGGAGGAACATGAGCTCATGTCTCAAAGTTGAATGAATTACTGAACGGCTCCACTTTAAATCTAAGCTTAAATGAATTTTAAAGCTGTTTTACACTGCCGTTTGTGAATAAGACGACCAAATGATGAACAAGGGAGGAAGTGGGGGGGTTACTTTTTTTAGATTTCGTTATCAAGAGACCACACGTCCCCTGCCAGTGAGTTGGCGCAGCCCTGGATGGTCCAGGTGGCGAGGGCGAACTGGTTTCGGAACAGTTTGGCGTCGGCCTCGGGGTGGTCCATCCTGAGGGCCTCCAGGTGGCCGTACAGACCCTGCAGAGTGTGGGGGCCCGAGCCCAGCAGGATGTGGCGGAACGGAGTGTCTCTGGGGGACACGTAGGGGGACAGGAAGTTCCTCTCCACCTACAGAAACAAGGCAGAAATAGAATGATGGAAAGGATGTAATTTCCTATGTTTTCAATTTGATTGGATGATTCTTTGATGTTTACTTTTCAATTCTCAGTCAGGTTTTTTTCAGAAAAAAATATATATATTGGATAAGTCTTGAAAAGTGTTTTATTACATTGTTTTACTGCTGAAAAGCAGTTTAAGCAATATGATAAATAGTTCCCTTTGTATGCCCCTTAAAACTTGGTTTAATTAAGGCAAAAACAAAATGAAAGTTTGTAAAGGCAAGCTTCGTTTTTTGGTTTAAAATTAAAATAATTAAAATGGTGCGATCACAATAAATGTATAGTAGCCTGGCAAAATAAACAACACCTCATAATCATTTTCCAGAACTCACTTTTACTATAAGGGTTGTCATTAGAAACTCTTTAACCGCTTTTTCTTTAAAAAGGTCCCCTGTTGCGAAGATCCCTTTTGCTCAATTCTACTATAGGAGTCCCCCCTGATGTCCAGAACTAACTTTTTAGATACTCATCTAGCCTGGTTCTTACCATCATGATGCGGTCATTAAGGGTACGGCACATCTTAATGTCGTCCATGTTGCTGTTCTGGATGTCTGCTGCCAGCTTGCTGGAGGCCCGGCTGTAGGAGCCGTAGGCCGACATCAGCCACTGCATGGTCAGCACCTTGGACAGCAGCTGGGGCTGCAACTGCAACACAGAGAGAACACACAGGTATGGTACTTTATGAGACCCTTTAATGCTTTCCTGTAGTGTGTTATATAGGTTGTGGTGCATGTAAATGGTCTGCAAAGGCTAAAATCCTAAAGTTCCCTCCAGAGGGAGTTTCTCTCCCCCACACTTCTACTTAAGTACAGAATCTAAGTACTTCTTCCGCCTTGCCTCTACACACTGCTCCTTTATTTGGCTACTTTACAGAGCTGGACTATCAATTGGGAGTAAAAGAGAAAGAACAACAGAGTCAATTGTTGGGACGCAAACAAACAACTTACCCTCAGCACAGAATGGACCTTGTTGTTGATCTGAGCCACGCGATTACGTATGATTTTGTTGTACTTCTCCACATCCATGCGCAGCAGATGATCATGGACCAGCCTCAGCACCATGTGACCTGCGACCCGCGTGGCTGCTTCAGCCAGCTGAGGCACCTTGTTGCCGGTGGCCGCGTTCAGTTTCTCCCGGGTGTCCAGCGTGGTGCCGAAGTACAGGTAGTCCTGAGAGGGGAACACAAGACGTATTCAGAAATGGAGATGACACAATCTTTGATGTAATGGCCCGATGTAAAAGTCCAATTAGAGAAGGTTTTAAATGTCCGTGTGGCTGCAGAAATAGTTTTTTGGAGAGGTAGAGCTGGGTGTAATTTGCATAACAGCAAACATCATGGTGACATTGAGGATTAAGAAACTGGATTATTGTTTTGTTGATTCTTCAAGTTTTTATTTACACTTTTAAAATATGCATTTATTTTCATTGATTAAAGAGATTTCCAGCTAAAGAATAATAGTTAAGAACTTTTTGTTAAGGGTTAAAAATAAAAGTACTCTTTAGTAGTAATGAATATTGAACACTAAAAAAGAAAACATTTAATTAAAGTTTGTAAAAGCAGTTTTTTCTAATTCTAATACTTTACTACACCGTTTACTGTTTTTTGTATTTTCTTTGGTTGTGTAATTATGATGGAAATGGAAACGTATAAAGTAATGCTGTCAAAATTATCGCGTTAACGGCGGTAATTAATTTTTTGAATTAATTGCGTTAAAATATTTAACGCATGTTAAATGCCCGCCCCATACATGCCCGCCCCATACATGCCCGCCCCATACATGCCCGCCCCATACATGCCCGCCCCATACATCCCACCAGTGGCAGCGCCAGGGTATGGCTGGGGTAGGCTACACCCATACCAAGAAATGGCTTAGCCCCACCATGACAAATGATGTTAAAGTAAGCAAAAATAAAGTCCGCCAACTCGCGGAGTAAATTGCACAGACAGCAGTTAGTAAGATTGATTTCAGCAGCCACTTGTCTGGAAATACCGAAGACCAGAAACGGTTTTGAAAACTTTTGTCACGTAGTGATCGTCTTCTCAATAGAACATCTTTGATAATGTCTTCTGGCCAATCAGAATCAAGATAACGGCGTGGTGTTGTTGCAGGAAGTCTCGACGGAGAATAATTTAGCTGTAGTACAGGTAACACATAACTGGTACGCAGGTTATGTGCGTAATCTGACATGCGTACCGTCACTTGTGTCTCAAAGCGCATTTGCGTACCGACGTACTTGTGAAGCTTTTCCAGAAGGCGGTTAGATCACCGGACGACAGAGTCGGTCTCCGTGTGCACAGACAGGGCTGCTGTTAACGTCGGTCTGTACAACGGAATTGTGCCAAAACTACGCCAACCGGCTGCGGAGGGAGACTCCCCCCCCCCTTCACTGGAGAACTGCGCTAAAACAGCTGATCACAACATTCACACTCTGTGGTCACGAAGTACTCCACTAGCCTAGCCCCCCCGTCCCGTCGACTTTCCTGAAGTACTCCCCCGTAATGAATTAAGACCCCACGGTTTGATGATTGATAGGTGTGTGTGCTGTCTTTCATTTACACGCAGAAAAATGTTATAATAAACATAGATACTGTATGTTAAATGGATATATCCGCCTTCTTTCATTTATCTTTCCATTCCCACAACAATATACATAAATAAATGGCATATTTTGGACATAGTTCGAATGGTGCTTAATCATGATTAATTAATTTTTAAGCTGTGATTAATCTGATTAAAAATGTTAATCGTTTGACAGCCCTAGTATAAAGATGGATCACTGTATTGATAAAACTGATGACGAAGGTGCACACTGTAATATAACTACTATGCAACTCTAAATAAATACAATTCTTATACTCTGTGACTGAGGTTGATCGCAATCGATTGACAGTTGCCTGGCAAGATAAACAACAACCTCTCACAAATGTATAACCATTTTCATTCAAATGTTGCGAAATTCGGATTGGTGCAAGGACGTAGGTGTAAGCACCCTTGCCCCATCCCATTTAAAATGAGTATTAACACAGAAATGTGAAATACTAAAACTGTTCCAACTTCGTCTCACTCTAAGGCAGTGGTTCTCAAACTTTTTCTGTCAGGCCCCCCCTTTGGAGAAAAAAAAAAAGTCGGGCCCCCCCAACACACATAGTCAGGCTCAGTGGCGGCGCCACAGACTTCTTTTGGGAGTGCTGTGTGGTAGCTTGACGTTTCATAGAGGGTGCTCAAACATTTAGGGTTTCCCATTAATGTACCGGTCGCTACAGTGGAATTGTCTACTGCAACACTCTCCACACGCACATACACAGTGTTCCCGCAACTGTTACAACGAAGGCTCGATAATCAGCTCACGGCATATAGGTGTAAGCAGGGGTAACGTGCTATTTTTATAGGTGGTGTGTGGACACATTGAGAGCAAAATGAAGAGATCTATGGATACCTCTCTCAACACCCAGATGAAACGGAACTGTAAACAGATTTACTTTTTCTTTATGGATATTTTACAAATCACTCTTTTAAACTTTATTCTTTTTTTAATGTCATATAGTATTTCATACCTGTTTTTCATTTATTCTCTTATTTTTTTATAACTATAATGATCATATAAACGTGTGCCTCGGAAATAATTGTTTACATTAATGGTGACCAAAACGTTTGAGACCCACTGAGATAACACTGAGAGAGTCCTTTAGCTCACTGAGTCTCTCAGTCTGACAGGAGAGGACTCTCCTCCACTTTGTTGTTGAAAAAACTCCTTATATCCGTTAGCGTAGCTCGCTAGCACCAGAAGCTAAGAACAACGATCTCCGGTACCGGTGCGCTCTCTCTCTCTCTCTCGCACACACACAAAATGGCTCGTTCCACACACACACACACACACACACAGAGCCGAGCTTTAATGAAACACAGAGACCCAGACGTAATAGTACTGTATCATATTATTTTCGAATCAATAATTTTTCAAATTATGATTTTTTTTTTTTTTTTTAATCTTTTTTTTTTTTTTATATAACCATTTTTCCTCCTGGTCTCTCGCGCCCCCCCTGGCATGCCTCTACGCCCCCCAGGGGGGGCGCGCCCCACACTTTGAGAACCACTGCTCTAAGGAAAGGTTTTCCTACATAAACATTACATGTTATGACATGGCCTTTAAAAGAGAGCCACATTTTAAAGAGAAGGATGTTCTGGGCTACGGCGAAATTGGCAAAACAAGATCAATAAAAAAACGTATGTTACAAGGGGGTGACCTACCGAGTTCTCAGAGGTGAATCTGAAAGATGCTGACGGGATGCCAGAAAAGGCGAGGAAAGGATACGCAGCGTTATCCAACTTCATAGGCTCCAACCTGGGAAATAAACAAGATGGGTTAGCTTGAGCTGTGCTGGGTGAGGATTTGTAAAATAAAGATGATTGGGACGTGAACACGTGAGGACGGGATTCTAGCGTGGACGAGGAGGTGATGGATAAACACTGCAGAGACCGGTCAGACTTACACATTTGATTCCATGTTGTCCTTTGCAAATTCAGAAAAGAGAGACCCAGCTTTGTTCGGGGAGTTCACCTGAGGAGGAGATAATGTTTATGAAGGTTAAGCCTTAACATTCACAAAAATATGAAACACGGAGCTTAATTACCCCCGACAACGTGTGTTCTGTTATTCTCAGAATCAGAGGAAAACAGCAGCCAAGCCTTCTCCAAATATAAGAGACCTTTAATATATAACAATCTTGACCTCAGAAAAAATGTATTTAAATGTTTTTGTTTCATGATCAGGATGTAATGCAGTGTGTAGGCACTTCTGCCGACGCACATATTTTTGAGTTTTTCAGTTTGACGTGTATTATTTATTTGTTGGTTATATTTATTTACGTCATAAATTACAATGTTTAGTTTTAATTTAGTCTTTTTTTTATCTTTTGTTTCTTTTTGTTACCAATGACGGGGCACTCTGACATGCGTGCTCCACGTTCGCTTTTCACATGTAAAATTGAATTTATATTTCAAAGGCTGATTATTATAGTTTTATATTATATTTTATATGTAGCATAATGTACTTTACTAATAACGTTCTTTCTCAGCCCTGGAACTGAAAAAATGATAAATAATACTAATAATCAAAACATAAACGTGCTACAACTAGTCAACGTATCGCCTCAATTGACGACTAATGGTCGACTGTAAAAATCTTTAGGTGAGGTCAGCCTATCATTAATTCAACTACTGACAATCCTGCTGGCTTGTATGTAACGCTCTTTAAAGTCTGTGGATTTACCTCCTTCAGAGTGCTCTCGACCAGGCCGTGCAGCAAGGGACTGGCTGCCACTTTCAAATATTTCTGACCTGAAAAAGACAATAAAAAAATTCAGGCATTCGGAAAATCACATATTGCAGGTAAACTGGAAGCTGTTATTTATTTAAAAGCCTACATAAGTGAAGTCAATACCTGTTACAACTCCATCCAGGTTGATGTAAGAGAAGGCTTTCATGCTCAGAGAGGAAAGATAACCCTGGATATACAAACAAAATGAAGGAAGAACAATCAGGTTTACTTGTGCATAAAAGCTGCTGATCAAGAAAGTACATTGTGCAATTCTCACCTCCAGCCACTCGGTGGCGCCAACACTCCCATATTCTCCAGCGCTCCAGCTGGCAAACACAATGCTTCTCCTCGGCTTGAATCCACCTGCCAGAGAGATAACAAATACACATTAACAGAACGATAAGCGAGAACCTATTCAATGATTTCAAGCAGAAAGGATCTGACGTGAAGTGTAGATCTATCCAATCAATATTAGAAAAGTGAAAATATGGCATTATTTCACATAAAAAAATAAACATCAGCTCAAGATTTTAATGTCTTGGACATACGGGAGGAATTACAGGTCCAAAACCATCCGTTTTGAATAAGCTCAAAAAAAAGGGAATTGATGTGCTAGCTTTATGAGGACAGTATGACATCATCAAAGGTATGTACATATAAATGAGTTAACAATGAAACTGGCGTAACAGCAATGCGCAGATGGTGTGTGTAGAGGAAACTTCTGTGTAGCTATGCAGTGGGAGTCACCGACTCAGGAAGGAGACACGGGAAGAGCAGGAGCTTTGATGTCAAACACATGATGGTTTATTTGGAGTTAACGGCCGGAGGATTCACATCACAAGTCCAAGAGTCAGAGGTTCTGACTTCACGGTAGAGTTGCCACGTCAATTCTGAAGAACTCTACCCCAGACCCATGTATTTAGCTAGTTCAGAGAGCATCATCAACATGCTGCATAACAAGATAGAATGATAACACCTCTATCAGCTGACGCCAACAGGCAGGAACAGGGAGACAGAACACTGAGAGCACAGCAGCCAAGGTTACAGGTGCGTGTGCTCAGTCAGGACAGTTTGAACTGATACACTGGGTCAAAGTTATGGGCCTTGGAAAATATTCCACAACAGTGTATATGCGCCAGGGACAGCCACAGTAAAAATAGACCAGTCTTCTATATATATATTTTTTAATGGAAAGAGTCCCCCTCAACAAGAATATACGGTGGCCGACAGGTGCAAACGCATTATAATGGCCCAAAACACTAAGATAGGGGGAACACGTTGCCGCATCAGAAATTAGGCAAGTGTAGAAATATCTTCACCAACTTGTCAAAACATGCTCAGAGTTTAATAAAAGTGATGCATAGACGAAACGCTGCAAACAAAAAATGGCTGCAAATCAAAAACAAAGAAAGGAGCGCAGAATAAAACTGAAACCAGGAGACGCAGCCGTTTGAGTTTCTCAGCGTTTTGTTTATGTAGCACTGTTACTAAACGATGTGCATGTTACTAAACGATGTGCATGTTACTAAACGATGTGCATGTGACTAAACGATGTGCATGTGACTAAACGATGTGCATGTTTTGTTTGTGTTTTTATAACTGAATCATTTCTGAAGCTGCAGCGCGTTTCTCCCAACAGTGTTTTGGGCCGTTGTAGCGCGTTTGCACTAGTCGGCCCTCGCAGGTATCCGCTGGTGATTACTAAACAACTTCATCCCTAACAGAGCCACTGTAGTAAACAATCTCACACAATCATGAAATGAAAGTTCCCGTCTTGTTTTCCATGTGACTTACACAACCCTTTGGCAAAACAAAAGAATCTTTACATTACATTGCATTTAGCTGACGCTTTTGTCCAAAGCGACTTACGATAAGTACATTCGACCAGGAAGACACAACCTTGAAGAAAACAGAATCATATAAGTACATCAGGTTTCATAGAGCCAAACATTTCAAGTGCTACTCAACTGGCTTTAGGTAAGCCAGTCCTTTATTAGTATATAAGTGCTTCGTTAATAGTTCTAACGCTCGAAGTGGAGTCTGTGGCAAATACAACGGTAACGTCTTTAAAAGTAGCCAAAAGTGGAAATTGTGCCCGGAGTGATTGATATTTACTGGACATTAACATGAACTAAAATGAATAACCAGGTATCGCTGAATCAGCTGAGTCTTACCATTCTTCACCATATCTGAGATGGAGCGTGCCAGCTCGACAAGGACGCTGGTACCGACAGTTGACGCGGCAAAACCTGGACCCCATGCGTCCCTCTGTGCACCGATGACCACATATCGATCTATGAGAAAAAGATAGAGCCACGATCATCACTCTTATCAGGGTATATGCAGGAATCCTGAAGTCACATTTAATACCTTTTAAGACCTTTTTTTAAGACCCTTTCCATACATTTTAAGACCTCATCGCAACTTCGAGTTCTAACCTAACCGGTTACATTGGCCACACACTTTACTATATTGATTGTAAGATAGCACAGCTAAACAGAGTGCAGACAGACTACTGAAGCCTCCTCTCCATGAACTTCAACCTCTCTGTGAAGGTCAGGTTTAATGCAGTATGCTGCTTTGTTGCTTCTGTACTCTGTACTCTTTCATTCCAGTCAAACTCCTCAGAAACCATTAGAAACCAGTATTTGACCAATAAACAAAACTTTGAACTATGAAATATATTAAACTTTGGTGAGCTTCAGCGGGGTAATGCCATATAGGAGCTCCCTCACAAATACCCAGGGGTTAAATTGGGCTGGGGCTGTCCGGGGCTAAGCCCGGCACATAGGACGACGCTCTGACGTCATCGCCCTCACACATTTGTCATATGTTTACAAAAAAGGCTACGAAACTTAAAATAAGAAGCAGCATTTTATGGCACGCTATGCATGGGGCCACCTGAGGGGGTTTCCTGACATGTTGTTTCAGTAAATTAAAGGGTGTTTCATGTTGTCGTTGCCGTGGACCTTCTTATTACCTTGGAAAATGCCATTGAATACTTTTTAATAGCCTTAATTTTCGCTAAATTGATTGATCAACTTTGAATACGTTTTAAGACCCCGCGGACACCCTGCTTATTCAATGCACAGAATTCTGAAATCACAGTAAATCGTTGTTTGATACAAATCTTGTTGTACCTGCATCCACAAAGCCTTTGATGACCCCGAAGACATTTACTATCTTTTTCTCACTGAGCACGTTGTCGACCCCCAAGGTAATATTATCGCTGTCATCTCCAAGTTTGTTCGGGCTTTCCCATTCTTCCGGCGCATTGCCCCCCCCCAGCTGCCTGTAGGGTGAAGAAAATGTATATTAACATGAGCTGCTACAGAGTCAACTGTAGTGCATTGTTTCAGGGGGTCCACAGAGTATTGAAGCATACCGCAGAATGCTTATGGCCATGTCTAGGGTGATGGTCTGGGCCAGGATTTTTGGCAGGCCTGAGGAGTTGATGGGTGGGAACTGGGTGTGGTTGAAGGAAGGGAAGCCGGGGGTGTAGGGATCCCCTGAACCAAGGTGGACCTGTGGGATGAAAAGACAGGAGTTTTCGATTGATAAGATTGCTCAAAGATATGGTTTATAATGTGTTCTCGTCCTCCCAGCAGCCTGAACCCAAGCCTAAAGCTTCAACATTTGAAACTAAGAAAACTATATGAAAAAAAAGGTAATTTACACATTAACTTCTAAACTCTAAAAATCAGACTTATGATGAAGTATTAGTTTTAAGACTTAATCTTTTGGGCTAGACATACAATTGCAGGCTCTACTTAAAACATGTTTTTAAGGAAAGAAAAGTAGAGTTGTCATGCTGAATATAAATAATGTTTTGGTTGTTATTTTTAAATCATACATTACATTTCCATTGTCTGAATATTGCCGATAATTCAAATTCTTCTTTTTTTCTTGCATAAATTATGTTATGTTAATATCATTAATTATTCGTGTATAAAACTGGTCTACAATCACAATATCATTTATCCAATTATTTCCAGGACAAAATATTGACCAAGAAAAATTGTTAAAAGTCTAGTCAATCACAAGATACAATCAAAAAGGGAACGCCTCATCAATAAATTGCTATATGGAACAAATGGGTCTCATCTTCCAACAAAATGTTTCTGAACTGTCCACACTCACATGTCCATAGAGCTGAGTGGATCCACCAATAGAGGCTTTAGAGGGATCTGGGTAGATCAGCACAGCAGAAGCACCCATTTTGGCAGCATTGGCTACCTGAAAGAAGAAGAGAAAAAAATGATTTGGAAACAAAATCCACACGCAAAGTAATATTAAGTCATCCTGAATTTCTTACTCAAACCACCCACCTTCTCAGCAAAGCTGATCCGACCGGTTTTAACCAGCATGACCCTGCCTGTCATGTTGATGTTACGGCTTTTCAGCAACCTCAAGTTCTTCTCCTCCCCGTAAAACGCATACAAGACGGCACCCTTGAACAAAGATTAATAAATGCATTTAGTGTAAAGTTCTGAGTTAAAAAAAACAAAAACTGTCTGTAATACCTTCCATGACTCATGCAGAATAAATTCATGAAATGCATTCTATAATGCTTAGCACACAAGTTATATACATTATAAGCACTTATTCATAATGCTTTAAAATCATAACACATCACTCAAAAATCTGGTCACTCCCTTACCTTCTTTGACAGGGTCATATTGTTTTATTATCTCCTATAATTGTAATACATTATAATCTATTGTGCCATTTAAATTACTAGCACTCATATATGTATGATAGAAGTCATTATATAATGAATCACAACTCGTTATACATATTGTATCAAAGCATTTTGAGGATTTATGAGTGCTTAATACTATAATAGTGGAATTAACAGATTATAACACATAATAACTATGTTTATAATGCAATATAGACACGGGTGTCATAGAAATGGATTCACTACTAATGTTCTCCTATAGTTTACCGTTATTGTTCCGTTGGCACTGTAGGACAGGAATCCCGTTGGACTCTCCTGCTTCCCCTTGTAACTAAAGCTGTTGGAGCCAGACGCTGGGCCGTCCTGAACCTTAACAAAGTGCTCGTCGGTCCAGGTTTTCATCCCGTACTCCCTGAACCTCTTGACCACCTTCTCTCCCAGGACCTCATCACTCAGAGAACCGGCCCGGTGGTTGTCACTGGAAAACTCCCTAGGACAGGAGAGAATAAAACACGAGGGGAAAAGAGAGACAAGAAAAGGCTCACTTTTAAAGAGATACTCTTAATCCAGACTCTTAAAAAGGCAACTTTGGGGTTTATATTTACCTAAAGACAGAATCGAATTTGTCTGCAGAGACTTGTTCAGCAAGCAGCTTTTTGACCTTGTCCCAGTTCATGAGGGGGGCAGCACCCGTCTCGATGGCAGCACGGTTGTCATAACGGACCATGGAGTCAGCACAGGTGGGAGCCAAGTCCTTCTTCCGATGAACCAAGTAGCCAATCAAGTAGCCTGTAAATAGCAGCAGCTTTAAATGAGGAACAGCCAGGTGCACGGAGAGGAACTGAAAGCAGTGACAGAAATAAGGACTGACTAGTAGCATTGTATTACGTCCAAAACTGCACAGTCAGAATTTCTTAAAAGTACTGTAACGTATAGTTCTTACTGCAGGAGAAACTTCACCCGTCTAATGCAGTCAATTAATCAAATATGTTATGCAAAAGGTTGACTTGATATAAATGCCTGTAGGTGACACCAGTTGTCATGCCTATTGGCTTAGAGCGGGTCCTAGAAACATCAGTTTACCTATCTGAGACAACGGCCTATAACTGATGTGTGGTTTCCCTGTTTCCTTGTAACACTAAAGAAAGAAAAAGATTGAAATAAAAAAAGTAGTGGCCCCATGATAGATTCTAGAGCAGTGTTTCTCAAACTTTTTCATACCCAGGACCACTTAACCAATAAAAAAACGCTCGCGGACCACCTCACTCCACAAATATCCAAAGACACATTGTTTTTATAGAACAGATTACAAATCGCCTGGAAATTGTACAAACAAGTACCATTTCTTGTTAAGAAACTTAAGCTCGCTCCATTGCGGAGATATCCCCGCGAGAGTGCGGAAAACTTAAATTTATTTATTTATTTCAAATGTGAAATTTTACCAATATACTCACGGACCACCAGCGGTCCGCAGACCACACTTTGAGAAGCACTGTTCTAGTGGAACTCTGAAGGTGTTTTAGAGTCATCCAAACTTCTTAATAAGCTGCAGATTCTTCAATCAGCGGCCTCTTACCGATGATAAAGATGAGCAGGGTGGCGACGGCCATGAAGCAAAGGTTCTGTGGTGTGCGCCCGAGCTTTTGAGCCACGTAGGGTTTGCGGTTGGAGTTGTGATTGAGGTGTTCTCCCGCGCCATTGCCCCCCGTCTCCTCATCCATGTCTGACGACAGCTTCATCTCCACCTGGCTGTTATCCCCTTCCATGTTCCGGGTCAGGTTGAAACGTGTGTAGGAGTGAGGCTCCCCGTTGAACTGTGATAAGAGAAAGATAGGAGAAAATAGCGTTTATTATTTGGTTTGGCTTTTATATTAAGAAAAGGAAGCAGGACATTAGCTGGAATAAAAGGTTCCTCTTTAAATGCTCCAACATCAGTATTTGTTGCGACCTGGCTCAAAAGGCCACAACAAAAAGGAGACACAACATGTCAACGGGTAGGTAAAAGTGTTTATTTGCACCACACTGTTCAAGTCAACTCATGGTTAATACTCATCAGAGCCGGGTGCCTGCAGGAAAAAGCAGAGAGAGAGCAGAGAGGAGCAGAGAGGCTTCAAATAGCTGCAGGACACCAGACCCAGGTGCCCTGAGTTACTGTAATCAATGCAATCACTGGAGCCAATGCAGCACAGACAGAACAGCCACACCCTCTCTACTGATGGACCCACAGGGGCATCACAGTATTACTTTCTAAATGTGCGTCAAATAAAAAATGAACAAAAAAATGGTAGCGAATGACTTAATGTGATAATAATAATAATGTAAATCCTTTATAATGCCTGGATAATAAGTAACACAGAGCAACTTTTATCTTGCCAGGTTGTGATAAATCTCTTTTTCCAGGATGAGTTGATTTGTTGCATTCATCAGAAAGACCTCTCCAATGAATCATTCGACTACTACTTCTGGGAAAAAAGTCCCCGGAACTTCTGGCCTATAAACTGCACCAATTTAAGTGTATTTGTATTTTTAAGTCAAATAAGTAGCAAAACACCCAAATTATGTATCAGTTATGTTTCATTATCGCTCACTCTTTCTACGTTTCCTTCTCCTTTCTCTGTCATGTGTTCAAAGTAGAAAACTTAGCGTAGCATTCACTGTGCGCTGATGTGATCTGAACATTTTACATTCGGCAAACTGACTTTGGTTTCTTAAAAATCATGGTTAGGCATTCAGGCAGACACTCTAGAAAGAACACAATCTCCTAATGTGACTATAAGAATCAAAAATCTATTTTTTTTATCAATAATATGCACAGATATAGAATGTCAAACAAGCATATTACAGAATTACCTTCCAGCCGTTGTCTCTGGAGAGCTACAATAGAACGATGGTAGATGACTGATAATGAGAGACTGCCCCGAGGACAATGAAGAACACTCCCTCTTTCTATCTTTTTTCTTTGTCATCTGTCCAAAAGTCTGACGTATCAAAATGTAATTTGTGTTCATTTTCAGTTTCCTTTATCTTTCTATGATACAGTGTTTCCCATACATTGATTTATTTGTGGCGGGCCGCTACAATTAAATATCGTCCGCCACAAATGGATACAAAAATATATATATATATATATTATTACCCTTTTTTTTCATTCATTTTTTTTTTGGTGGGCTAATGGATAGTGAGGTGGGCTGATGATCGGAAGGTTGCGAGTTCAAATCCTGCCTGGAACACCACTACTAGTGTGCCCTTGAGTAAAGTAAGTAAAGTAGTAAAATGATATTTTTGGGAGAATAAACCCCACAGATCCTCAACTCCGGTGTGTTTCACTCATTAACAACGCAATACAGAGCAACAACAACGTTGTCTACAGTAGCCATGAACTCGCATGTATTATCTTATTTGAGGGGGGGGTGGATGCGTGGACCACCCGAATAGGTTAAGGGGCCTTTGGCTTTTCTTGCCGGGGGGGGGGGGGGGTGCGGTGCGGTGCCCACACAAATAGAATCAAATTCTGTGGGAAACACTTTGTGTTTGTGAAGAACTCCCCTGTTCCTAAACCACTAATACCACAGTACTGGCAAAACGGGAGGAGCCGAGTGAAAAACAAGCGCCCCTCATCCCAATCCACCCACACCGCAGTATTTTTTATTTATTTTTTACCCAAAAAATATATTGTATATTATCGGGGCTATTAATACTTTTATCGGGTTTATCGGGATGACGTCATAATTCCTAATATCGGACCGATAATTATCGGACCGATAATTATCGTGCACCACTAATTACAACTTTGAATGCCTTTGTATATTATGCCTTACCCGAAAGTGGTACAGTTTTACTCGAGCTTCATTTAAATAATATGCAACAACAACTGCACTCTTCAGGATACCCTTTCAGCATGGTGAGGTAAAGTCATATTGAGTTGTTCCCAGGATGAAAAAACATTACAATTATACAATACAGGCATTTATAATGACACTCATTTCACGTGGTAACAAGGAAATTAAGCATGAAGTATTATGTTGTAATACTCACAATTTTAGATATTGTTGACCTTGCCTGGTCCATGGTTGCGTCAATCTAAAAGAGGAAAACAAACAAGGATATAATTAGTGAAGCGTCAGGCCTAAAGATAAGTCATTTGTCATTTTCTTTGTGGTTGAGGCTTTAAGAAAAGATTCAATCTTAAATGGTCCCTATTATGCTCTTTGGGGTTTTCCCCTTCCCTGTAGTGAGTTATATAGGTTTGTGTGCATGTAAATGGTCTGCAAATGGTCAGTTTCTCTCTCACACACTCCCCCTGCCTGAAATGCCTCATTGGACTCCTTTGTTTACTTCTGTAACATAGTGACATCACTATGTAACACTTACGCTTCTGTTGGCTAGCGCTCCAACACATTGTACGTAATAGGCTAAAGAGCGGGAAATCTCTAAGCAGTTGACAATCACAACAGAGCCTGCTAGCTAACCAATCAGAGCAGGTTTCAGAGAGGGTGAACAAAGGGGGTGCAGCACAGGCAGGATGAGAAAAAAACAACTCGCTTTTTGAAGCACAAAATACAAATATGAACATTAGCATATGTCCCATTAAACATGAATCCCCTATAGACTTGGTGGCTATTAATAAAATAAGCTTTTCAGGAGAACAATTTTCAGGTTTTCAAGGGATGAGTGTGTTTACTGAAATAATAGATTTGTTGTATAATATAACTTTGTTTTATAATATAAATTGTTCAGGTTTAATTTCACTACAGTGTGTACAGTGTTACCGTTTCACTTCTGGGAATAATGAGGTGTCCAAAGAACACGTCCCACCTCTTGTCTAAACATCCACGGGGTTTCCTTTTCTGCTAAGTTGAAAGGCAGCACTGTTCCTACACAAAAGACCAGTGTCCAGCACGGGTCAGCACAGACACCATGCCTCCATGTGAACTCCTTTGCCAGGAAAATACAACAACAAAATAACTAGATTAAATTCCAAAGAGGAGCTAAACAAAGCAGGGTTTCAATTGTTCTGAAGAAACAAGACCTGAAATGCAAGTCTTCTGTACATATTTTCTTTCATATAGTATAGCCATATCAGTGAAATAAGAACTATGCATGTGTCGGCCCTCAGGGGAAAGGCTGGTTATGAGAGGAGCTTCAGCTACAGAGGGCCAGAAATCCTGTAACTCTTTTGTTTGATAAAAAAACGACTTAACTCACATTTTTGCACAGTTCCTTATACATATAATCATACAACCATCAGTAGAATCATCACATCAAAACAAAATGCACATTTAATGTAAGAGAAACTATTTGACCGTATAGAATTTCTGTCCTCTCAGCAAAAATTGATTTGCTGATATTTGACACAGCAAAGTCATTTCGTGACATTCTACTGCTGTTTTGCCAAAGCAGGCCAAGGGTTTTTCTTTAGTAACAATTGTGAGAATGTTCTGAATACAACCGACTACAGAGCCGGAATCACTATATAAGCCAATTCCAAAGGTCTCCAAATACAATGCAACTATTGATTAAGCTTTAAAAAAGGTGGCATGGGTTTGTAATGTAAGAAACACAAAAATAGCTGTGGACTAGACCAGGGGTTCCCCCACCTAACTCCACAAATATCCAAAAACAATAGGCCTGCTCACCACTCCAACAGTACATAACAGGCTAATAATGACAGCTTAACCTTCTCTACATCGCCTCGTTCACACAATAAATCAACAATACAACTACAGATTATATAAGCATTTAGTTCAAATGCGATTTAAAATGCTCTCAGGTTTTACACCTCTTATGAAATGTAGACTACATTTATTACGGAGTTTATGTCCGAGCCAACAGACTCACAGATCGTTGGCTACTGAGAGAAATGCAAAATACATCCATTGTTTGTTTTATACGCTTCTTGAAATCCTAAAAACACGTCGTTTTTCTAGAACAGATTACAAATCCCCTAAAAATGGTTCAAACAAGTGGCAACATGTGTGACGAAGGTGTTGCGCTGGGCTATATCATGCAATGGAAAGTTAAACTTAAGCTCACTCCATTGCGGAGATATTCCTTAAATGGATAAGTGTCCATTTATCCATTAGTCCATCTAATGATGGTAGCTAAACATTTGTGAGATTTGTTATAAGCAGGTTTTGACCCATCTGGCTTACCATATTCAGCTTCACTGCAACCATAGTGATAGGTCTGAATAATCAACACCAAATGAAAGTATACTACTGCAGTGACATTTATGCCCATTTGGGAATTAACTAATGAACAACAAGTGGTATGCTACAGAAAAATAACCGTGCCATCACTTGTTCGCCATAATAGCTCTTTGTTGGAAAGGCTTTATTTTGTAATATAGCTTGAACAAAGGAGACGTTAACAATAGAAGTAGTATAAAGTAACACCACGTTTCTACAACTACTGCACCAGGCAACAGTGTAGAAAGCACGTATGTGGGTGTGAACTAAAACTGTCTAACAGGTAACAGGGCATCACTAGACAACAATAGGCTAGATCATTGTACTCGTTTGTACTCATTTGTACTTGTTTGCCCTTATCCCAATCGCCTGGCTGTATGTGGTTCTATTTACAATGTATTCTTAAATATACGAATGGTAGAAGGAATATCAGCATCGGACATGATCAAGAAGCTTCAAGAAAAACTGATTTGAATAGAAAAAAGGCAGTATTTCCGCCAAAAGGATATTGTTTTCCCAAATGTGGCTTCAAAGAGTGGGATGTTTTTTCAATACCGATCATTTGGTACCAAGTCGATGGAAAAATGATAAACAATTGACGGAGACGGTATAAAACGGGACGCAGAGAAATCACAAGTGTCCCCTCCAACGTTCTTTTTCTCTGCCAAGGCTACAAAGAAACATGTACCAAAACGGATATTCCTACTGTTGTGTGTGTGTGCGTATAGGAGGACTTTACTGATAAGAGTGCTCTCCTATCTTGTCCGACCTCCAGCAACAAAACAGAACAGAAATTCTCAAATAACCTGTTCTTATCTAGCCAAGTAGAGAATGATATAGGTCAAACCATTACAACACGGTTCAGCCTTTGGACTGATTCAAACACTCTTTGTTGACAGGAAGCTCAAGCACAAACCATATATTCAAAGTCTAATTTTGCTAACAACTATATTTGTGCGTCAGTTTATTCTGTAATGTTTAAAGGTCAGGGTTAAACTCAAAATAGACAAAAAGACGCCAAGCTTGTCTGGAGTGATTATAATGTGTGCAGTGCAGCCAGAAATCATAGAGAGAAACTGTTAATGATCCATACGCGCTAAAAGACAAGCTCTGCTGGAAGGAGATCCCAAACTGGGCCGTGCGTGAGGAGAGCTTGTGTGGGCAGATGCCAAGCGGACAGAAACGCGGAGGCACTCATTTGCACTGCCACAGAAGGGCCTTGTAAAAGTCCAACAGCGTTTAGCATAGAAAAAAAGCCTAACCTTGAACTCCAAGTGTTTTTCTATTTCAAACTAGGATACAGCCATGTTGGAGCCCAGCCATACAATAACTTACCTCTGCAAACCACGTTGGCTATGTTAAGCATTGTGAACGGCTAACTTTAGAACATGCCCTGGCCTCAGACAACCCTAGGACTCCATTGACTTCTACAACCTTGAGGGGAGATACAACCCAGTACGGTAGACCTAAAAAAGGTTAACAACTAAAGAAATGAGTAGCCTCATTGCTTGCTTTGCAATGCTTGGAGAATATGGACTTCTAAAATGGTATCAGACCAGACTTTGCAGCTTTGTAGGGCTAATTACCCTGTACAGCTGTCTATAATCTTACATACCAAACATACCGGCCCTTAATACTTTAATCAGATTAGCTTCTCTTTCAGTTGAGACCTATGGATATTAACATTATAAAACAGAATACAAATCATGAAGGAGATTCAGTTTCAAACAAGACTTTTTAACACTATAAAATCTACAAGTGATGGCATGGGCGTTGTGTTCTTGTAGGGGTCAGTTTGCGTAAATCATTCGTCGAACCACGACCACAAAAAGGAACTACTTGTATCTCTCCATTGAATAATGTGTAGCTAAGTGTGTGCAAAGGGGAGATAGTAAGAGCAAACTTGAGTCACGCCCTTCTGGGAAAGACATGACCTGTTGGGCAGTCTTGCTTAGTGAAAGCGAGTCAGCACAGTCCCCTAACTTTAACGAGAGGTGATATTGGACAGAGGTTATTTGCACACTGACTACTTGAAGTCAGAAAATAACTGAAAAATGGTCTGGAACACCTGTTAGCAGGACCAATTGAAAGACAAGGCTAAATGCATAGGAATTAAACAGTTTCCAATTAAGAGCTTGAATTTCTAAATATATTTAACGTCAAGGTCCTAATAGTCCTGCAGTCAGATTTTTAAATCCTTCTCAGTGTTGGAAGAGAGAACTGTTCTCTGGTTTCAAGGGTCGGACGTGTTGCAAAAGTACTTTCTTCATAGTCTGCTGTTACTGAACAATTTCCTTTAAAAACCATTGCTTCAAAAAGACTCTTGTTCTAACATTACAACAGAACTATTGTGAACTCAGTTAGGGGTCATTGAGGGGGTGAAATAAGTGGGACGTGTTAAAGCTCTTCACAAATTAAATCAAAATCATACTTTGTTGCTAAATACACTTTATTGAACATGCACTGTTATTACTGTTAGCAAACCGTCCAATGGAGTTATTTAAAAACGCTGACATCATTCATCACTACCATATTAAAAGGTTCAATTGTAACATAACACTGCATTATGTGAATTGCTCAGTGCAATAATATATGAATTTGCCAAAGGGATTTTAACATAATAACTAGGGATGCTCCGATCGCCAATTTCGGGGCCGATCACCGATCACCGATCGCCGGAATCAGTATCGGCCGATACCGATCGCCGATCCGATCGAGTGGGCGGGGCCTAAATGGAAGATTTAAACATCACTTTGAATCTTCCATTTAAAGTGATGTTTAAAACTCAGTTAATGCTCATTCACTGGAGCTTCCACAAACAACAATCAACTTAATTATTACATTCAAATGATGTACATTATTCAAGTTTACATTCACTTTGGATAATAACACGGGAGAAATTAGCGGAAGCGCTCTCTTTTCCTCTCTCCCTCTCTCTCTCCCCCCTCTCTCCCTCTCCTGACAGCCTGTCAGTATCTCATGCAGCTCACTGATCCAGTAATGAGTGACCCGACAATGAAGAATAAATATATTTATAATAACTAGTTTAGCTTGTTCCAGAGGTATAAAATAGCTAAGTGTGTTAGGTGTAACTCTTACGGTACGTCCACACAGCAGCTTTTCAAAAATCTTGAAAATCTTGGAGCTGGGCGTGTCTGAAAGCTTGGGGATTTTTTGCGAGCAACGCGACCAACAACCAATCACATGAATCTCCCGCCCCCGACATACAAAGCAAAAAACCCCGGGGATTTTATGCGAGCAATATATATATATATAAACTCCCCAAACAGGCGAAAACTTACCAGTTTCACCCACTGTCTCTGCCACCTCCCTCCATGCCTGGTTCCTCCGGTTTGTATCCCGTTAATAGTTCTGGTCGTAAAGAACCGGGTGATTTGCTACCGTAATTTCTCGTTTGGAATATGAGGAAATGAACTGCGGTCTGGTTCTCCCTGTGTGTGTGTTTCGTTGCGTTTACCGGTCCAGCGGGCGGAGCTGCAGGATTTCTGCTTCACACACGTTGCATACCGCTATTTTACTGTCTTTTCCGGACACCTTAAAATAATGCCAGACCGGAGAAGCCATGTTGGCGAGCTTGTTTTGCCGCACACAGAGAAAAGTGTCATGTATTTTACGTCATGCGATCGGCATGTTTAGAGAGCACCGATCGATCGGTAGAGAGTGAGTATTGGCCGATATCGATCGGTGACCGATCGATCGGAGCATCCCTAATAATAACTAGTTGTGCTGTTAAAGACCTAGCTTACTTCTGTAAAAGGCAAGTAGGCTAAGTCTTGTACAGCATGAAGAGATATGATCAGATGTGCTTAATTAAAAGACATCACACTATGATTCCAGGAAGGGCAACGTTATCTTCTTCCTGGTACAGCGAGAACTTCCTTGTGCCACATATTAAAATACTATGCAATTAAGTACAAATCCTGTCCAACTAGTGATTGAGCCTCAACTAGATACACGCACACAAAGCACCAGGATACAACACAGTTTTAAATACAAAGTGTTTTTTAAGCAGAAAATGCATCTATGTATGTACGAGATTAAGAGAAATTGGAGGTGCAAAGAGACAAACCTATCACATCTGTAGATATGATATGTTATAACTACCAATTACATTAATACAAATCCTTATAACAGTTTAACCATTAATATAATTTATTTAAGGCAAAATAACAACTTGCAGCTGAAAGCCCAAGCTTTGATTAAACGTGACTGAACTGATGATACCAAATCAAGTTCATCCAAAAGTTTGTAGAATACAAACTGATAAGTATATTGCCAAACAAATACACGATTTGATTAGTTCGATAATTCCTTTCATTAAGGAATGTGTCCAATGTGTCCAGTAATCATGAACATAACAATTCCTTTACCATCCCATGTTGTGCCAAACATTTTCAACACACAGTCTAACTCTGCATCTTCTTGCAACATGCACCGTTTCGACCACACTTTGTCCAACTTTGAAAAAGGACCATGGCACGGAGAGGCCAGAGATGTAGAAAAACATTGTCGTTATCGAGTGAGGAAAAAAATATAAGAGTGTGGGAGACAAAAAGAAACGGTGAGAAAAAGAGAACAAGGATCGGGGGGGTAGGAGAGGAGAAGGGGAGAGGGGTCAAGCGTACGGAGGAGTCATTGTGCAGTGGCAAATCATGTGAGAGTCACATTGGAGGAAAGCTGCAAGTAGCTCATGGGAAAATGGGCCAAAGTAGAACAGTTAGGCGGGCAGCTCCAAAGTATTAGGCCTGCAGATTTTCTAAATGTATTTATTTCAGATAAGTTCAGATATATTCAAGTAGCTACTTCTACTACAGAACACACTTAAAACTAAAGCAGAACTTTCATTTGTATTGTAACTAGTTAAACCTGTTATACTGTGGTTGTTATTTAAAATCTAATTAATTCCCATTGGCAGAACAAAGAAAGGCGACAGTTTGGCTTTTCACCTGCTGCTAGTCTGAACAGGTTTTTTATATCTTCAGTTATGAGTAATATCACACTGTATCACCATTGAGAAACTTCCTCCAAATATAGCTCCAATGTTACCATATGTTGTTTTAAAAAAGTCCCTAAAAAGCATTGTGAGCTTTATATTTTCACCTAAATATAGACCAGCATGTTGGCTTGTAAAAACAAAACAAAAAACAGTCTAGACTGGAGGCAACATTTATGATTGTTTTAGTTGTCATATCTTATCTCTACAGTTGAAGCCTGTCAAGGTCAGTCCACACAGGGACGGTGTAATGTCTACCTAAGGACACGGTTACCCCTGGGGGTCATTCAGGGAGGCTAGCTGCTTTAACCCCTGCACTGTGCAGACCACTAGAGCCTAGCCGGACTATCTGAACAGCCGTTTCTCAATATCGAGTACACATGCAGCAGAGCCACTATTTCAAGTATACTACGTAATCGAGTGGCGTCGAAGGACTGTTTAAATACATGTTAAATGCACATCCATGGTTAAATGCCCAGCATTCTGCGCCACTCTATGAAGTAGTATACTTGAAATAGTGGCTCTGCAGCATGTGTACTCGACATTGAGAAACGGCCCATGTCTCCCGGCTTCCCTCGCTATGAAGCCCCTGCAACGTGACAGCCACTACTAATGAGAGGAGGCATGACTGCAGACAACAACGCCTGGTGCACGCTTTGCATAACAAGCTAGGACACGACAGCGTTAGCATTACATTTATAAGTGTAACACAACTTAAACATGTCATACATTTGCCATGTGATAACAATCTCCCTGAGCTAAAACGGAGCTGTTCTTCCTCCAGTCACGGTAACGTTTATATTTCAGTACAATTTCACATCTTAGTTAGAGCTTAGCTGTATGTGAGGGGTAAAAACTCTCACCTTCTTTTCTCAGAACAGCTTTGACCCACTGACTTCTTCTGTGACAGCCTTTGACACGAGGTTCTACTTGCTGCTTTCTGATGTAGTTGTCTGAGCCGGTGCCCTTGAGCATGCGTTTAGCAGCAATGCATGATTGGACAGTTTTACTACAAGGCTATGACACGCCCCCTACACGACACGCCCACCTGACACGACACTACGGTGGCTGAGAGACATTGATACCGTACATGGCAGATTAAAAAATAATTGCAAATGTTATTGTAGCATTTTAAGCAACTATTAGCCAAATTAATTAATAACCTAGTCTATCCGTTTGAGGCACAACAGTATATGACTTTCAGCACAAATCATTTTGTCTAATTAATAAGACATTAAAACAAAAAGGGGGCTTACTAAACTTTATTTTTAATTTGTTAGTACATGTTTGTCTAACTGCTACACATGTATTTATACATACATGTAGATATTTATGAACATCTAAATATAGTTGTTAAAGGTTTTAAGATATAAATAATCACATCATGGGGTCATTAAGGTATCAAACAGGTTCATGTAAGGTAGGCCTACTATAACATGAAAACATGATTTTTACTAACTAATTTCTGAATCTCACATTAGCCTGTAGTTTGGTATATTATAGATATGGGCTGGACACCCCTTCGCAATGATCATCATTGACTTTTTTTAGACCAAATTAGGAGGGCCAGTCAGGCCACTAATGAGCTCAATCATTCACATTTATTATTATTACTTTATAAATTAAGAGTACTAGGGGTCTATTACAAAACCTCTGAAGGAATCGTCATGCATTCTGAATGTTTCTGTACTTTAAAAACAGGCATCATGGCTCAAGATCTTGTTCTTAGACTGCACTGTAACTTTTATCCATGTATTTTTTCTTTTAATGTTTATTTTATTAGCTTTTCTTTTTAATGATGCCGTTTTCTTAATGTCTTTCATTTTTTGTAAAGCACTTTGAATTGCCTTGTGTTGAAAAGTGCTATATAAATAAACTTGCCTTGCCTTGTTTAAGATTATTCATACTAATTTGTGAATTCATCATCCATATCACTCTTCAAAACTGAAACTAAAACATTTCTTTTTAAAGCATTGCAGGCCTAAAGCTCCACGTCAGTGACCTATACTTTAATTTCTTCCATCAAACTTTAAAAATGACAAACAGCATGTTTTTAAAGCTTTAATCTTTTAAGAAACAAAATATCAACTTTGAACAGAAGGGTTTAAAAACACGTTTTTAATGCAAATAAACTTGAAACATAAACCTATTTGTCATTTCAGAATTCACTTTTATTGTCTGCGTGAAAAGGCACAGGATATGAGCGAATAAATATCAACATTCAAAAATTACAATGTCGTACAATATATGATACCATGTGCTGTGCTGGATTAAGTATGGTGAGACTTTTCAGCCCGCGACCCCCAAAATAACAGTGCCAGAGACTGGTGACCCCCGACGGGATAGTGTCACTGATGTCCAGTGTGCTGGGCAGTGAGGCGGCGGAGGGAGCCGAGGGCACCACCGGAGGAGAGGCGAGCGATGACAGCAGCATCACCGTGGTGCAGATTGGGCAGAACGGGGAGTATGGGCATGGCGCGGCTCCCCGCACTGAGGGGACTTGTTACACGGAGCCCATCACCGGGGAAGCTGCCGAGAGTTTGATCCTGCCTGCGGCGGGAGAAGGTGGTCTGCTCGGCCTGCCCTTTGCTCTGGGGTCCCTCCTTAAACAAATAAATAAAAACCTTTTAAATGAAACGTTCATCTTAACAGATAAGATGTGATCATTTATTTTAAATCAGTCAGGCCTTTACAGCATGGCCACACATCTAAAAACAGAGGCTCTGTCCTAATTACCTGATTGCATCCACCTGGGTTGGCTCAACCAAATAACTTTATATAAGTTTACTTTAAACCACACTTAAAATAATAATATAATTATACATATGTAGGCCTACATGTCTACAGTATAGTAACTAATACATGTTTTAAATAAATAAACATTCAAATGTGCAAGACACCTTGAATGAATATTTAAAACTTACACAATATCAGATTCTTGTAAAAATTAGAGTACATGCATTGTTCCATCTGTCAAGCTAAGATATACATATATATTTGCTCTTAGCTTGACATGCTCGCTCAGTTAGCATACACATATATATATATATAAATATATATATATATATATATATTATTTATGTATTCCATTCCTTTAAATTGAATATTTAAAATACAAATTAGCTAAATAAACACAATTACACTGCGCTAAACAGTCAAATCGACAAACAACCGAGAACCTAAATAGTATGTAACTATATCTAAAACCACAAGACGTTAACTAGAGAATGTAATTCCTGAAGATTGCTAGTGGGAATGCTTTATGCCGAAAAGCTGACGCTAAACTGCATGCTATTCTGAAATGTAATGTGTAAGAAGAAAGTGAATAATTTAGATTGAAATTATACATGAACACTACGGGCTTGAATGTGTGATAAGAGAAGAAAAGAAAGTAAAAAGGCTAGGAAAAGCAGCAGAATATTTGAACTGCAAACTTTTGAACTAACTTGATGGTGAATGATCTGTCGCCATGCCAACGACATTTGATGACATCCCATAATACGCTTAGATGCGTTGATGGCTGCATCGTTACCAAACATGTGAAGTTTTGGGCCGTTTGGAGCATTTTCACTGAAGTTATGAGAAAACCGTGTTTCATGGTGAGCATTGTGTTGCCATGGCAACGGCATTTGAAGAAATCTCAAAACTGTCCCGTAGATGTCGACTCCACTTCGAGCGTTAGAACGATTAACGAAGCACTTATATACTAATAAAGGACTGGCTTACCTAAAGCCAGTTGAGTAGCACTTGAAATGTTTGGCTCTATGAAACCTGATATACTTATATGATTCTGTTTTCTTCAAGGTTGTGTCTTCCTGGTCGAATGTACTTATTGTAAGTCGCTTTGGACAAAAGCGTCAGCTAAATGCAATGTAATGTAATGTAATGTAATGTAATGTAATGTCACGGCTGGACTGTTAGCACACATGTGAAGTTTGAGCACTTTTTGAATAGTTTCATAGGAGTTATAGCGACATCGTTTTTTATGGCCATGGAAACGGCATATGATGACACCCCATACTTAATTAAATTGACGTAGAGCTGTTGAGGGCATTACCATTAACCTTTATCTGAAGTCTGGTGCTCTGAGCATGTCAGTTGGAGTTATGACATCATCGTGTTCCATGACACAGGTATTTATATTTGAGCTAACAACGTGTCCAGAGATCAAAGGTTTCCATGGTGATGAGCAGTAATCAGTTAGAGGAGAGCATTTTCATTGTTCTGAATGAGAGATAAACCCAGGGTCGGCTCCAGAACAAATCGAATGGGGGGGCAAGCATTTACCAAGGAAGGGCATACACTGCCGTCAACAACCAACACACAAACACCAACGCAACTTCAATTAAAAAACATGCTGTAAAGTGTCTTTCACACACATTGCAGGGGTGTAGTGCTATTTTATAGCACACCTATGACCTGTGCATGCATGCACGGTTGTGGCACAACCACCAAAACAGAAACATATAAGGACATAGGCCACCATATAAAAGTGTGCAAATGTATTTAGTATCCTATCCATGTGAACATGTTTTAGGTGGGGGTGGACCTAACCTCCTCTAGGAGGGTCTGGGGGCATGCTCCCCCGGGAAGATTATTTTTAAAATATTGAAGTTAAATGCATCAATCTGGTGCAATTTGAGAGCAAAATGAAGAGATCTATGGATAGCCTACATCTCTCAGTATCCATATGAAACAGAACTGTACACAAATGTACTTTTTCTTTATGGATATTTTACTAATCACTCCCCTTTTAAACTGTATTCTTGTGTTACTGTCCTATAGTATTTCATACCCGTTTTTCATTTATTCTCTTATTCTTTAATAACTATAATGATCATATTGTAGCGATCCTGATAGGCTACTCAGGGTATCACTTAGGCATCCCCCGTCTCTCGGCCAATCATAGAGCTGCACCGTGATGGTGGCTGAGGTGCGGGCCTGTGGTTGGTGGAGCGGACGGGGGAGGGCGGGGAATTGTGACGTAGACAGTGCTATATATATGGGCATGTGTAGAAGTTAGTGTTAGTGTGAGAGGAGTGTGCGGTAGAACCCACGAAGTGTACTTGACCTGTTATCATCTGTCTTCAAATACTAGTTATTAAAGCCTAATAACTACAAGCCTGTCTCCGACTCATCTTGGGAACGTTACATTGGTGTCAGAAGTGAACTTTTCGAACAAGGGACGTCTATCCGGACGAGAGTCGTAACTGCGTCACGGAGCTAGCCGGTAAGCTAGCGGGGATGGATAAGTTCAGCAAGATGGGAGTGAAGCAGGAACACAGTAGTGATGAAGAGGAAGATGGAGCATGCGGGTGGTCGAAGGACATGAGAGAGGAGTTCATGAGTGCACGGGAGGTGAGAGAGCGCCTGAGAGAGTCGGCGGTGAGGATGGCTAGAGACGCGGGAATGTCGCCGTCTTCTGCGGCAGTTCGCGCCATTTCCAAGCTGGAGGTAAACAACAATGGCGGCGCCCATCAACCCGCAGCAGCCGCCGCCGGGTCAGTGAAAACACCCAAATTCTCGGGTAAGGCAGACTGGGAGGCTTTCCATGCCCAATTTGAACTGCTTGCTCATGCCGGGGGGTGGTCAGTAGAGACTAAAGCACTACAGCTAGCTTTGTGCCTCACAGAAGAGGCTCTTTCATGTCTGCTACTACTTAGCCTTGAGGACCGACACAGCTATGAAGCGTTAGCGGGGGCTTTGAAGAGGCGGTTTGGACAGTGTTTCCCGCCAGAGCTGCTCCGGAACGAATTGAGTAACCGCTGTAGGAAGTCTGGAGAGACGCTGCGTGCGTTGGCTAACGACGTGGAGAGCCTGACGCGGCGGGCATATGCACACATGCCACCCGGAGTGCAGAGTGAGCTGGCACGTGATCAATTCATCAGGGCTCTCCTCCCTGCGGACTTGAGGGTTGGGGTACAGCTGCAGCATCCACAGTCCTTGCAGGCGGCCTTGGAGATGGCTGTGGAGAGAGAGATTGTGTGGAGTGTAGCGG